GACTAGCTCAAACAAGTCTGGGTCGAACTCTTGTTGTTTCCAGCTTCGCTTTCGGGATTGGTTTCTGCTAAAAGGTTCCTGCTCACGGGAGTACGAGATTTGTGCTATAATAGCCATATGATCACTGTTTGTGTATATGTCAGACACCGCCCACTTAATGTGCCTGCTCAACGAATCGTTTGCAAACATAATGTTGCAAACATAATGTAAATTATTGTGCATGTGTGTGTGCATTTGCTTAAAATGTAGTTTTTATGCTTGCAACGTTTGCCTTTGTATTTGTGGCTTTTTATGCGAATTGATTTTAATTTCACGAGAATTGTTTTACTCTCCCCCTCTGTCCCTTATGCAGCGCTGTATATATGTTTGTGTGCCACTTTTTGTTGCATTTTACTGCTGGCATTTTTCAGACCTTTCATGCGTTTTTGGCAACCCTTTACTTTTATGGAGCTTTGGTGTTTTGCATGAGAATTGGCGCCGAAACGTGCTGGCCGTCGACACCTGCCGCTAACTTTTTGCTTGCTGGCATAAAGTACATTATTTTAGAGCTGTTGCAAATTTTTTCAAATATCCTGATAATGATATGACATCAGCTGTTAAATTTTACACATTATGTGCGATTGGCGAGATCAGGAGAGTAAACAGCTTTCAAACCACTTAGACCACAATTTTAGGTGAGCGAAATTGTTTTTCGGTATGGAAGTGTTGGGATACTTCAAAATGTGCTTAAAAAGGTTCTAAGCTCTACTGGCTTCGTGAAGCAGAACCGATTAATGTATTAAAATTCTATTATGCTTTGTTTTACGGGATCGAATATGTTTTGAGCTTTTATTTGAGCTTTCATCGCGTTGTGTTAATTTATTTTATTTTATTAATTGTCATATAATTGTGGATATTAAAAAATCCATTATGATTGTTTTTGGTCCCTTATGAGCTTTTGTTTTCATATAACTTTGGTCTTAAGCTCATTTCTCATCAGATCTCTTTGAACTGAAAATTGATCAGGATTATATAAAGTGACATTTGGCGTGGAAAAAGAGTGTAATTGCCAGTTGAGAGCACTCATAATTTTCTTAACACTTATGGACGATGAGGCGCATAAGACTTGATTAAGAGCTCAAACGGTCGCTCGGAAACGAAACATGTAGTTGGCAGATCTTACAGTCTCAGATGGACTCAAAAAAGGTTAAGCTTCCAGCAAACGCCAACTTAAAGCTACTAAAAATCTACTAAGATTCCATCGCCTCTAGCGACTGAAATTGTTAGGATATCGGTAAACGCAACTATAGAAGTAGTAGTCGAAAAAGTCCTTTCGTATATTGCCACTAGATGTCGTTGCAGTCGTATATCTTCAGTGCTATAAAAGTTGAAGTATTATTAGAAATACGAAAGGACTTTTTCACCTATCCCATATTTTAACGAGCTGTTGTTGATTTAGAAAGCTATCAGGCGCACATGTGGAAACCGGAGCTTGTTTGTTGGAATAGTTAAATGATTTGACGCCTGCACTTTCGAATTAGATGCTATGCTGGGAACATTACCACTACATTAGTTTGCGTGGTAACGAAAAATCAAAGACTTGTGCCTTTTGGAACCCCTTACCTCCTTTACTCTAACATTTCTAAGTCTTTTGCATATTTTCATATAATCTTTTACACTTTTCCATGCAAATTAATGCCGCAATTGTATTTGCGCTCTTTTTACAGCACTGTGGATCGTTTGTGGTCGATTACGGAGGATTTGAATATTTTATACAAAGAGAATTGGACACGTCTGGCCGCGCAGGAGGTGCAGCATTTCCAGGTAAGTGTCGGCATTTGACTTGCGCATAAAAATGCACGAAAAGCAAATGAATGCCAGCACAGACAACTTATATTGAGCCATAAATGCGCACACACACACACAGACACATACACAAACACTTACTAAACACCAGCTGCCTGCTCAATATGCACACTAACTATTCATTGCCGATTTCTATTACTGCCGTCGACTTGAGATGTGACCATTGTAGGCCGATTCATTTATTCAAATGTCCAGCAGCCAAAAATTGTCGCAAACACACACACACAGTGACGCAAAGCTGAAAGTGTTTATGTGCTTATGTACAGTTACACTCGTGCATGACTTGCTTGTTTCACTTTGTAATTTATTTAATGGCGCCACACACACGCACGCCCGTGCCTTTTTCTTGCTAATTTATGGACTCGCATGCATATGTACATATGTGTATGTGTAGGTGTTTCGGTTGGTGTTTATGCATTTTCACATACTTATTTACATGCTTTGTTGGCTTGCTTGCTCGACTTCATTGTTTCTGCATGACTGGCTGCCGCACATATACCAGTACTCAAATGACAACATGTAGGGACTCACACTTGCATACAGCCGAGCATGCAGGCTCATCAATTGTGCTTTTTATACCCTGAACGGAACCGGTATATTAAGTCTACTACGCATATTAGATGTGTTATATATATTTAAATGATCATGGGTTTAGTCAAGTGCTACCCTTTGTATTGGTTAGTCGAAAAAGTCTTTTCGTATTTCTAGTCAACCATTTTTGTGGTACACGAACTGATACAGCATCGTATTCGTAAACTTCACAAATATCATTGGTGGCTTGCGTAGCATTATTCCCTTTTTTATACAAAAATTTCAAAATATAGCGAATTTCTTGATTATTTTCACACATTTTTGAACAGCTGTAACTTTTTTCAACTCCCCGAATTTAATTTTTTGTCAAATAACGCGTAAAATGTCACCTTTCTAACGCCATATGGTATGATGTTGGGTAGCACTGTAGACTACGACTGCAGCGACATCTATTGACAAAATACGAAAAGACTTTTTCGACTACCCAATATTTTTCGTTGTGAAGGGTATTATAACTTCGTTATAAAGGAGGTTAAAATGTTTTCTTGTTCTTTGCTGTTGCTGCACGTGTCCACCTCGTTGTTGTCAGGGCACATTTTGCCGCATATGTATACTTATAAGTGTGTGTGTGTGTGTGTGTACAATAAGTTAACATGCAAAGCACATTCTAGCATTTTCAGCAGTTCTAAATATTTGTAATGCGCTTCAAAGTGTCTGCGCCGCCACTCACACTCATTCGCATGTACATTTTCCTATTCATTTTCATTTTCGTTTCTATTTAAAAAAAAAAAAAAAAAAAAAAAAAAAAAAATTGGCACTCATTGCTCGGCTGCTGCACTGAATTATTCATTTAGTTTACTTACTCTCACACTCGCACACCCGTTTGCTTGCCAAATCACTTACTTAACCAAATATAATACATATGTAGTGTACTCATGATTTCTCTTCTTGTTCTACTTCTTCCCGCAGGAGACATTATTGCGCGCCGTTCGCCAATCGAAAATTTATCAACCCGGCGAACAAATGAATCCACCCACACACAAGTGGACTTATGCATCGGCGTTTCTTTATTCATTAACATTAATTACAACAATAGGTGAGTACACAACAACACAAAAATACCTTATCTCTAGCATATATGTATTATATAAATAAGAAACAAAGCCTTTATCTTTAACATTGACACACAAATAATGAGCTTGTGCCTTCGACCGATTTCCAATCAATAGAAATGCATTCCGCTGTGTGCGTATGTGTGCATGTGCATGCATTAGTGTTTGTTTGTGTTGCTGCTGGGACACGCGCTAGTTTATCTATTAATTTGCTACTCATATGTAAGAGGGAGGGTCAACGTGATGTGCGACCTCTCGAGTGTTTAATTTCCTAGTAGGGGGTATGCTCGTGGTTGAGGGAGGAGTGCTGCAGGGTTCATGTGTAGCTCTAATTATTTTGGGTAGAAAATGATTGGAATGACAGGCAAATTGAAGGATGAGTGTCGTTTGAATGACTTAATGATGTTGACAAAGTGAAAATCAATGCAGGGTGACTCAGGATATAAATGATGCTACACAATATATTTGAAAATGTTTAAATAAAGCAAATTTTTTCTGTTTATATTGAAACAATTTGTTATTACAATATAACAATTTTTAAGAATTAATTTTTTTTTACAAAAACAAAACAAATTTTGGATAATTGTTATAGTTTGCTTTTTAGTTTCAAATATTTGTTGGTAATGGTGTTTCTAAATATTTTCGCCTAAAAGATATGCGTAAGTTTTCAAAAAATAAAAATAGACAAAAAAACATAAATACAGTTTTTTCGAAGACAAAATTACTTTAAAAAAAAAAAACAAAACAATATTTTTTTGTTGTTATTGTTTTTTGTTTTAATTTCAATTTTTTTTAAATTTTTAAAAAATTTCAATTTTTTTTCAATTTCAAATTTTTTTCCTTACTGCCGTTTCTAAATAGTTGCGTATAAAATAAATTTTCCAAGAACAATGTTTTAAAAAATAATTTTAAAATTTTGCATAAAAAATTAAATTTTCGCACTTTGTTTCTGTTTGTTGTATAATATTGAACTGTGGCGATGCTACTTTTAAGTAATGCTGAGTTTTCAAAATTGAAATATCCCCAAGGTTGCACGAAATTCAGTGAAACATGCGCAAAGTGCAGCAACTGCTTAAAAATATTCCGGGAAGAGCGTGCAGCGCTCAAATTAGCCGAAAATTAAGAAAACTTCCGATACTTGCGCGAGCGTGCAAACTTTGCGAAATTTCATGAATTTTCAGAAATTCGCTCGCAAACAATAAATTTCCAGCTTATTATAAGCACAGCGCATTTATTTTGCACAAATAGTTGTTTGTGTGTGTGTAGTTGCGTGTGAGCTGCGTGCACATGTTTACCATAAACTTTTACTTCTCTATACGCCTCGGCGTTTGACTAACACTTTTTATGCGAAAACATTTATTAATTAAAAGCGCGCAAGATCTTGCAGCGAAAGCGACCACTATGGCGTATGGGTAACGCTTCGTAGGAGGAGGCTATATTTATACAACCAAATTTTGGTGTTTTAAACTCCACAATAAGCGCATTTTATAACAGTGCAGTTAATTTTCTTGCAGCCAAATATTTTAACAGTTAATTGCTGGTCAGTGTTAGCATTTCTTTTCTGTACTTTTTCGACGTGCACTGTGCAGCGCGCGCTGCTAAGTAGTGTGTCTGCTCAACGCTCTTAAGCTGCCCCATCGCACTAATACCCTGATTACTTATTTATGCTCATAAGCTTAGCTGCCATCTGCCCGCGCTTCGAATACAAAAGAAATAAGCTACGCGCCCTTCAAAAAACCCAGATAAATAGTAGCACAGTGACAGACTGCGCTGCTGAGTAGCGACGAGGAGTGGGGACAGAAGGAGTGGGGAAGACGTAAGCAAAATCATTTGAGCCCAGCGCCGCGCAACCAGGCAAAGTGGCTGCTGTCCATTGAGCTAAGAGCGACGACAACAAACGAAAGCGAAAAACGTGTCTGAGTAGCTGGACAGCAATATTTGTGTATGAAGCGTAGATCGAATGCGTTCAATATTCGCTGGCATTGCATTTATCACGTAATTGAAATTAATTTCTGCTTAATATTGGCTGTGCTAAGTTTCTTTCGCTTGTTTTTTCTTCACCACCACTCATATTTTATTTACTAAATCAATAAGCTGTCGCGTCGTAAGTGATATGGGCTTATGTGAATTCGCTTATGCTGCCTCAGTGATTGCTGGAGTGAGTGAGAGTGAGTAAAATGTGCATATCATATACGCTCTTCATTAGTAAGCTTCTAGTTGTGAGTTGCGTAACGGCACAGCAAAGGAAAAATAAAAAAAAAGATGCCGCATATTGACACAACATATGTATGTCATTGTACACTGCGGATGAGCAATTAATTTTCAGGCTATTTAATTACAATTTTTTTTGTTTTTGGGAGGAGAAAGTGGGTTTTGAGAAAAAGGGTTGCGTAGTTAACTGTCTATGATCGAAATATCACTGTTTCCTCGCTTAAAGCTTCATGCCCATAATAATGATTTGTTTCGCCTACTTCACTGTATATCTAGCCTTATAGAGCTCGCAGCCACAATCGCAACCGAATATTAATACGAAAATGTATAAATGTGTGAAATAACCGAGTACCCAATGGTCATAAAAACAAATTATTTCTTACCAAAATACACTTTAAATTCTAAGAATAAAATATTTATTTTATGACAACACACGCTGACAGCCCTTTGTGCACATCCAAAGTCCCAGCGCCAGACCGCAAATAAATAGCAAATCAAGAAATTGAAAATTGATTTCTACTCACTCATTTAGACTATTTTTCAACTGATTGGTTGCTCGCATGTGTTTGCGCACATACATACATATGTATATACTTATGTGTGTGGGTAAGAGTGTGCTTATCTGCTTCGGCATCCACACATGTGTGCATTTATGCCCCGCAGTCAGGCGTCAAATTTTACAACGAAAATTTTATAGTAGGCAATAAATCGTTAAATGCTCTGGGGATGAATGGCGAATGAGGCGTGCACCGAGATGAAGACGAAAAATATTAAAATGGCAGCTATAACTATTTTGTGAGCAAATAAGTATATAAAATGTAGCAATCAAGGAATGTGGCGCATGGAATTCCTGTGAATTCGTGGCAGCAACGAAATTGTGGCCATAATGATGGAAATATTCTACTTCTACTTTTTTATATGGTAGAATTAAAGAAGAAAATAGAATTGCAAGCCACGTAAATGAAGAAAGCGTCAAAGTAATGACAGACTGTATTGTATTAAAAGTGAGAAATTGACTGAAATAAAGTATACGTAGAAATTTGCTTTAAAAAAGCATGGCAGTGTTAAAAATTGTACAAATTTAATAGTAAACGCGAATTTTCGGGGTTGTTTTTACAAAAAGTTGAAATTATATTAATAAAAATAAATCAACAAATATGACTGAACATTAAACTACAGAATTGCTGTTAAACCCGTGATTTCGGGCTTGAAAACAAATCCCGAACATTTTTGTAATGTCGGAACTGCTTTTACAAAAAGTTGAAATTATATTAATAAAAATAAATGAACAAATATGACTCAACATTAAACTATAAAACTGCTGTTAAACTCGTGATTTCGGGATTGAAAACAAATCCCGAACATTTTTGTAATTTCGGGACTGCTTTTACAAAAAGTTGAAATTATATTAATAAAAACAAATCAACAAAAATGACTCAACATTAAACTATAAAACTGCTGTTTAACCCGTGATTTCGGGATTGGAAACAAATCCCGAACATTTTTGCAATTTCGGGACTGCTTTTACAAAAAGTTGAAATTATATTAATAAAAATAAATCAACAAATATGACTGAACATTAAACTACAAAAGTGCTGTTAATTCCGTGATTTCGGGATTGAAAATAAATTTTATGATTCAAAATTAAACTAAACAAGTGATATTAATCCCGTGATTTCGGGATTGAGAACAAATCCCGAAAATTTTGTAAAATTTTGTCTTCATTTGTGGATTTTTTTAAAATTCAAATTTATGAAGCCCAGAAACATAAATTAGAATTTTAAAAGTTTCCACAAAGGAAGACAAAAAAGAAAATATATTCCAAATGTGGTTTCAAGACTGCTATTTTCAAACCCCGAAAAATCGCATTAACTTATTTTTGTATTGATTGGAGTGCAGCTGCTCCATGACCGTGTGAAGTGTCTTCAACTGCAAAAAGTTAAGAAAGCAATAAATGAGAAGAAAGCAAAAGCCAAACTACAATTTCGAGCGAAATTTTTGACATATTTTTCGCAACAATATGCCGGCTTACCGTTAAAAAAACCAAAATTAAATTAAAAAAGCGGAAGAATTGGTAAGCAAGAAAAACTTCAAGAAAAGGTGAAAACTTTCGAAAGTTGCAAAAGATGAAAAAAAAAACAGCAAGAATTCAATAATAAAACGCAGAAATAATGAAATGTCAATTCTGTAAAAAAAATTGAATGATAAAATTGCGGAAAACAAGTCCCTTATCATGTCAGCATCAACGTATTCACGATGATCCCACTCACCGAGCGCCACTTACTCACACACACACACGTACATACGTACAAACACATTCGCCATACACTTTGCGTAAAATTTCCTTGCTCTTGTTGTTGTTGCTGTTTCTGTTGTGATAGCCCCATTATCTGCGACATGGGCAAGTTTATTGAACATCATTAAGTTGAGCGTCTGCCGACAGCCAAGCCAACCGTAGCACAAAGTAAAGTGAAGTGAAAGCAGAATGGGAGGGGGAAAGGGAGGCAAGCTGGAGGAAGATGAGCGCTAGCCAACAACAATGAACATAATAAAAAATCACAAAAAGCTTATATGATTTCATATAAAATCTCTGTGCGCTCAACAACAACAACATTGTAAATTGTTGCCGTCGAATATGGTTAAAGAATATATGAGCGCAAGCCAAATGTCAAGGGGAAAATTTCGCGCATAAATTGTGTGTAAATCTTGTGGCCTATGTGGACCTATAAGTGGTGCCTTGATAAAAAGGGGTTGGAGATAGTAAATTTGATGG